TTTAACACAAATGTTAATCTTAACACCCTACATATTTTTATAAAAAAAGAGTCTGAACTAAAATATATTATAATCAAAAGATGCACAATTTCATAAAACATGATATGGATAACTCACATTTGAGTTGATGAAAACCATCTCAATTGTTAGACCTCCAGTAATAGAATACTGATTCCACAAACAAATGATTTTCACCATAATCTTCCACATAGACATAAATGGCTTCATATCAACCACAAAAGTAATGGCAGACATATTTTTTCAATATCGTATTTATTATTTTTTTGCCTAAATATGGACTACTATATATTTAGGCAAACAAATAATAAAGTAGTGAAATAAAAATAGAGAAAATAATGTGTGATCATAAGATTTTAAATTCAACCCAACAAAAAGATTTCGTAAGTTTTGAATACACATATGGCTATATGGATGCGATTCCGAATATATAGAAAACATTAACCTTTAAGGTACATATCCTTAATTTAATTGTCATAGTAACGTCGGTACCATACTAAGAATAAAGTATATCTTTTTTGTTCAATTTATAAAGAAACTTTATATTACTTGATGGAACAAATCAATAGAGTAATTAAAATCATAATAACTGAAATAGAAAAACGCAAATACCAAACACCAAAAACCATGAAATCCAAAATCTTCTATATATTATAGGATGTCGAAGTGAACTTATAATATGATAAAAGGTTTCCGATCCGATTTAATCTATCTGTTGCTAAACCGCCTTAAAAGGTTTATTCTCCTACTTTCGAAGGAGGCGCAAGGTGCCATAGACTTGAATGGCTTCAGGTCAACAAGAAAAGTAATGGCAGCCATTTTTTTCCAATATCATATTGTTTCAACGATTTCAGTTATGAGGATGAAAAAATGAATAGGAGGAAAGGGTCCTAAGTAGGTTCAATATACCTACAGTGGTATTATAAAATCTTTGAAAATCTCACATTATTACACAAATATATTAACCTTGCTAATCACTCTTAATTCAATGTATACCTACGCCAAATAAATATTACCTTGATAATCACTAAACACATACGATATCGGTTGATATCAGTATATCTAGCTTTCATTATCGGTTTAATATAGCTGTACTGGTTCAGAAATGGTACGTAAACTAACAACCACAATATCATTATGGAAATCAACAATTTATTATATTCAAAATAAAAACACACTTGATCGTAAAAACATTTTTTGAGTTACCTAAAATTGTTTGATCATCCGATATAGTTCAGCAGTACATAGGAATAGAGACTCGATTGCATTATGATCAATTTGATCATAAACAAAGTCACACAGACACTGTAAACACAACATAGCTTTATATGATGGCTCAAGCCAATATTGACCTCAAGTAATGGGAACACCGAGCGTTTTTGATGGGAACACTGCAACTCTCTGCGGATTGGCTAAACTCGGCGTGTGCTCTTATCCTATTAAAGCACACGGGTCACACATTTGAAGTAAGCTTTCAGCATCAAAAGCACAAAACATACTCCTTACATACTCTCTGAACTAAACAAACCAAATGCATGGAAGAAAATAGAGCAAGGATAACTATGTTTCTACAGAGTTATAATTCTTCAACTGTCAATGAGAATGGCTTTAATCTTCAAAAGCTACTAACGTGTTTGTTAGATTTTTCTTTGGTCATTATCTTCAGAAGCTACTAACATGTTTGAGATGTATGTATTTTATCATTGATCATTTAGTGATATCACTCAAATTACCCTAAGGAGTGATTTTACTCTCATCAAAAGAGGTCAAATTGTAGTACTTAGGGATCGAATCCACAGAGAGCAGGGGCACACAATAGACTATAGAAATCAAGGTTAAGCTAGGTAAATAGTTTATAAAACAGTAAATAAAAGCAATGTGAACAAGGTAATTGTTCGATTGGTTGAGTTTGTAAGCAATAAGGAGAAATAGCTAGATCTAGGAATTTATCAATCAAGAGATACAAAACTACAATTCAAGATGCTAATAGCTTATAGATTCATTCTAGAACTCGATTTTAATAAGTAAGTAATCCATCTATCAATGCAATTACTAATCAGATGTCTAAGTCTTTGTTCCAGCTTTCGCATGCGAACAAGAGATGAGTATCGATCGATGCTATGACCTGAGCTTCGATCGATATTACCTCAGACAAGCATTAACGACCTAATCGATTATGTTCAACTATATTCCTAGACCAGTTCTCATATGTGCCTAAGTATATAATCCAGCAGGATTCGGTTTCCGTTAATTGACTGCACTCTAGTGCATCTCAATTGTCCTATGATTCTAGGTTCAAGCAATCAGTCACACTTTCATGATATCCTAATTACTTCAGATCCTAGTATTACAAATCACCCTGGTGTAGAGATCTATAGATATTTTAGCAATCCTAATTGATATTCAGTTTAACATTAAGCTCATGAAATCCCTAAACCTAACAAGATGAACTACTCAGACATGATAGAAGAAACACAAATCATGGTCTGAATAATAATAGAATAAGAAAGAAAAGATAATTCCAATGGAGTTCCAATCAATCTCTGAAGGATATTTGGTCTTCTCTCCAACTCTCTAACTAAGAACAATGAAAACAAAAGATGAAAGAGAAAGCATAGCCGTCAACAATGGCTTGCAAATAACATAAATAGGGTTTCTGGTCGTCAAGGGTATTTTGGTAACTTTGTGGTATCTTCTGGGCTTCAGTCAGTCATGAAATATACTCGGCCCGCATTCTGGTATCCATATCGATCGATGGGAAAGTATACATTCCTCTTCTCGACAGCCTTCTCTCGCGAGGCAGACTGACCACTGTTCAGTAAAACAGGCATAACTTCTGATCTAACCGTTGGATTGACCTGAGACCAGTGGCATTGCAAAGCTAACTCAAAGCTCTATCTTGTGTCAAAAGATCAGCTCATTCGCACCATGGTAAGGTATCCATCCAGATCTAAATATATGACACGTCTGCGCAGTTCTGCACTTAAAGGCTCCAAAAGACACCAAAATCACCATATTTCTCCAGAACGTACCTGAACCTGTAAATACTCTAAATAGACTCTATATTGTAGTAAATATATGTGAAAACACCTATAAACCATGGCTAAAAATGGGTAAAATCCATGGTCGATCATTTAGCTTCATGTATTTTATCTTCGGCATTTGTTCTTGTCCTACCATTGATCCTCTTGACTCAAACTTAAGAGTATGTATCATTGTTCGTTTAGTTCAGACGGATCCTACACAATTGCACCATTCAGAGAAAAAAAACCACATTTGATTTAAAAAGTCGTAAAGCTTTGCTGGAAAATTTAAATAGGAATAAGTGTTCAGAATTATGTGTGATATGATACAAAGCATACAAAATAACTATCCATTTTCCGTGTTCTTTTACCATGCATTTTCCATTCGACAATGTTTTGAAAACCGGATCGGATAACGAATCGGTGAGATATCTGAGTCACGGTTCAATCCGGTCTAACCGGTTCAACCGGGTTTTATATATAGTATTTTGTATATGTATATATACATATATAATAGTATCACCAAATAAACATGCATACAGATATAGTTCCTATTTTACCGTTAATTGTAGTAAACTAAATATTAATGATTTGTTGACTTATTCCCCTACCATAAACACATTCACCTTATTAGTTTTTCAGATATTATTTTCTATTTTTCACATACCCACGTTTCTGCTTCTTCTTTCTTCTCCATAGTTACATCAGTTCAAGTTCCTGCAAATTTTGTCATTTATATATTTTTTTTTTCGTGCACATAGAAGTTTTCTTTTTCGTTTGCTATATCAAATCAACCTAAATCAAAGCAAACTGAAAGAAAAAAAAAACTATCTTCAACGTATAAATCAATGCTAAAACAAATGTTTAATCAGATTTGAATTTATAAACCGAGTTTTTCAATCAAACCGGGTCATCGGTTCTTACGGTTTTTAGCCGATATTACTGGTTCAACTAACATCCGGTTTTAGAGCTGAGCCGGACTCGGCTAGGTGAAGGAGTCACGGTTGGACCGGTCCAACCGGCCGGTCCGGTCCGAGTTTCAAAACGTTGCCATTCGATTATAAGTTACGTTTACACGTTATAAGAAAAGATATATATGTTTAAGGAAAGTAGTTGTTTACATTAAAAACCTAATTTTTTTGTGAAAATCATTCTCCATTTGACCCCATAAATAAATATCAAAATAAAAACTTCTCGTGAAACCACATCACCTAATTCGCTAATAATTTTTAAGGTAAGTCTTAAAAATGCGTTTCATTTAATATATATAAGGGATCAGTCAATTACGGAGACAACAAGTAGAAGTAATCATTTTTTATATAGGTTTATTTTATTCTTTTTCCGGCTTATTTTATTCTATTCATAAGATTTTGCACCATGTTATCGTGAAAAGCACCGTTATTTCTCCACCGGCCATTAGGATAAATGCGCTAATTTGGCAACATTTTTGTATTCACATCGTCATGGTCGTGTGCCGTGTGCGTTAGAGCGAGAAATATCCACTTATGACTTGCCCCTTCCCTATACTCACAATCTCATCTCTTCCTCTCTAAACTACAATTTTGTCTCTTTCTCATTAACGTTTTTGGTCTATTTCTTGTCCAGGTGGGATTTCCACTATTTTTTGAAGTATAAATCGAACCAAGAAAATATTCTTTTTCTTTCACATATTATTATATTATTAGGAGCAACATAAGAATTTCAAAAAATAGAAGAATTGGTACGTGCGGGGATTTCAGTTTCTCCAGGCGGTATTTTGATTTCTTTAACACATTAAAATAAAAATAAAAATAATGAAAAATTCCTTGTTGTTATTCTGGTGAACCACTATCAAAGATATTTGTAACAAAAAGTAATGGAGGACACGTAGGGCCTAAGGAACAGACAGATGGTGTGTGGTTAAGAAACTGTAGTCTCTCTCTCTCTCCTCCATGTCCTAACTCCATGTCTCAATACACATTCTCTTCAATACTCATTTTCCTCTTCTAAGTTCTGAGCCATCCTTTATATATGTCCTATCTCTCTACCCTTCATTTTTACATGCATTTCACATGAAGAGGGAGAGAAAGAAACAGAAACTGGAGGTCAAGGAGGAGAGGAAAATGGAGGAGGTGGTGGTGGAGAAAAATGATGCATTGGCTGCAGCAGCGATGGTAGCTGCAGCTGCGGCGGTGGAGGAGGAAGAATTGTGGGGGATGAGGCTCAAGGATGGATACGTTGTGGTCGACGAGCTGCTGACATGGAGCACCGTGATGCCTTCATGTTGGGACGTGGAGTTTGTTGAGAAAAATTATGGAGTATTGTTCGAAGATGTTGTCTGGGAGGATGATCTTTGGAATTTGCACACTTCCACTTAGCTCCATCCACCTTTAGATAACATTAGACAAGATTGAACTCGGGAGATTCAAGGTTTTTCAATCGATTTGGTTGTTTTAGTATGAACCATATTGTTGTATTTGTTTTGGTATGGTTTTTAATCAAAGTCTTTGATCATCTTTTTAAAAAAGAAAAGAAAATACCCTTAATTCGAGGACTTTTATAAAACCAAGTTGGTTTTGAGTTTGTTTTTTTCTTGGTATAGCATAAGTTTTTGGGTTTTTTTTTTTCTATTAAGAACCGGTACTAAGTTTGTTTGTGGGTTTTGGATCGATTAAGAAAAAAAAGAACATACATTATGTACCCTGTTGAATCGGTTGCAAACTCAAAAATTTAATTATATATTCCGAACCCGGGGTTATCTCGCACAAAAAGAGAAGAAAATTATGCCCAGGACTAGTCCTAGTTTGGTTCTTAGAAACCGAGCCAAACCGTTATATGACTTCATCTTTCAATCTATTCTGCAGCGGATGTCCATATCAAACCTGTTTACGCCTATGTCCCGATCGGTTCAAGGGGGGATGTATTAGCATATTAATATTATGTATTTGCTGGTTAAATCTCCTCAAGCAGCTAGGGGCACAAATACTTGCTACTTAATTTGTACTTGCTAATTGATTTGTATTTGGTTTGAATACTCATTTTGTTCAAATCAAATATTAAGTTGTTTATTTCAATTATTTGCAAGTACAAGAAAAATACTAAATATGTACTAAAACAAAATAAATATTTAACGCTTGTTACTCGTGATTTATTACTTGATTTATCACCCGTTTTTTTATATTTAGAGAAAAAAGTCTCTAAATTATAATCAAATTACTTGTTTAGAAAATAAATGAACTAAAAGTGATATATTATAAAAATATTTAAGAGTTTTCTTCTAATTTTATTTTATCATATATCGATTTAAAACATATGAAAAGTAAATAAATAGTTTTTATTAAAAATTATTTAGATTATAATTATAACTAATTAAAATTTTCTTAAATTCATATACAAATAAGTAACTAAAATTAATAAATTATTATTAAATAATTTACAAATAATTTATAATAATGTATAAATTAGTTCAGAAACAACAAGTAGTAAAACAGAGCAAAACTTGCAAGTAAACCGTTTTTTAGCAAGTACTCGTTTTTAATAAATCAAATACATCCAAAATTGTATTACTTGAACAAGTTAAGCCAAATACCAAGTACGCTAAAAATGACAAGTACTTGATTTGTACTTACCCCTATCCTCAAGCTCACCATCGGTTTAGTGTGGTTTTAGTTTTCGTTGATTTGAACCACATGTATATATATATGTCGGACCATTGTATACATTTACAATTCAATCGATACAATTCATCTTCTTCAATATTCGGTTTAGATTTTCTACGCCTAAACAATTAACAATAACAATAAGCAGGTTATACAATGTTCATGTCGAAAACAGAGCTGTTCCTTTCTTCCCATAGCTGCTTTACTATATATCTGAAAGCATGAAACGACAAGGTTCTTGTTGATGGAGTTGAAATCCCTTGTAAACACTTCGGCTCTGCTAAGGGGTGAAATTGCGGCGAGAACAAAACAGATTGTTCACATTAGGTCTCTGTATATATATAACCAAACATCCTATACATAAATAGTCATTCTGGTTTACTGGCTCGTAGTGCACATCTTAAAAATGGCATCCTTTCAATTGTAAGTAGGCCCTAGTTTTAGGCATCACCATGCCGTGTAAGATATATGCCCCTTGAGGCATTCCCTTTCTCGCACGTTGACAAAATGGTGTGATTATACGTAAAAATAAAAGAAATCCATAAACGATAGAAAAATTGAAATGGACAATTGTTTCATCTTAGATAGGGTCTCTAGTAATATTAGATAGAACTTGTAAAGAGACAAATCGAAATACATTGCGGCAAGAACTACATGGAAGAGTTGGTTAGAAGAAATCTAGAAATGGGGGGTGGCTTTTAGCCACTTTGTAAGCAATAAACTTTTTTTTTTTTTTTTGAAACACATGGCAATAAACTAATTTATGAATCCGATAATACAGATAAATCATTTGGGTAGGTAAAGCTCATCGTAGACTTCTGGTGACAGTGCCATTCACATGGTACATAGCCCATACTAGTTGATAAATCTTACTCCCTCCGTTTCAGAATATATGTCATTCTAGCCTTATTTTTTTGTCACAAATTAAGTGTCGTTTTAGAGTTTCGAGACAAAATTTATTAGTTTTATATAATTCTATCTTTCTATTGGTTGAAAAGTGGTTAGGTGTATAGGTAATTGTGTTTTTATATCTTGGAAATATGTAAAATTAAATATTTCCTTACTCTGTGTGCAAAAACCTAGAATGACAACTAAAATGAAACGGATGGAGTATTAAGCATTACAAATCCGCTTTTTGTATTTTTCCATACTAATTCATGTAGTTCCAAACCTTTATTTGACAGCATCGAAATCATTGTCCTAGCTGCTTGTTAAACATCGTTTCTCGCTAGAATTTAAAGTCTTTAAAGTCCATATCACCAAAAAAGCAATAAATATAGACACACTACAAGAAAACACGGCGATTCTGACGGAAAAATTCGTCCGAATGTCGTCAGAATAAGGGTATTCCGAGGATATACCGACGAAAATGGTCGTCGGAAAATTTTCGTCGGAAATTCTGATTTCCTCGGAAAATTCTGAGGAAATACCGAGAACAACAATTCCGAGGACATTCCGACAAAATATTTCGTCAGACGTTTCCTCGGAATTCTCTCGGAGTTTACCGATGGAAACATTCCGAGGGAGTGAAGTTATCGGAAAATTCCGACGACAAGTTTCCTCGGAATTTTCCGAGGACATCGTATCGTCGGAATTGTCCGACAGATTCGTTCCTCGGAAAATTCCGAGGAAGCCCTGTTCCTCGGAATTTTCCGAGGACTCAATTTCCTCGGAAAATTCCGAGGAAGCGCAGTTCCTCGGAATTTTCCAAAATTTATATATTTTTTTAATTATAAATTAATTGTTTTTAATTAAAATTTGAAAATATAAAATAAAACTGAAAACTGAAAATATATTAGATACTAGAGTAGTTCAAATAAAAAAAAACATTCCTAGTTTTCGAAAAAAAAAACTACGGGAATTGCTCGTTCGGGTACATCCGCTTCATCATCTCCATCATGCGCTCGTTCTGCTTCCTCGATGCCTCCCACCCCTTCTCTTATTCCTCCATATTCGCCTCCAACGTAGCTATGCGGTCATCCTTGTCCTGCAGCTGCTCCATAACCATTGGATCAATAGGCGGTTGTGATGTAGGAGGAACCGATTTGGATCGACGACCCAAACCGATCAAACGTCCCTTCTTCGTTGGAACCGACTGAAAAAGAAAATAAACAAATTTTAGTAATAAAAATATTATAAAATTAAAATAAAGAAATAAATGAATTGAATTTTTATGAAAACATCTTACCGATTCAACAATCTCGTTGATTGGTTCTCGGGACAGGGAGACCGAAGATGTCGAAGTGGAGTCGAGATCGGTTTGAAGCTGGGATAGACGGAGCTCTTCGTCGTCCTTGAGAGTGGTGATCATGTCAACCACCTCCTTGATAAGACCATCATCAATCTCCCCGGTATGCTTGTTGGTATGCGCCCGCTTCAAAAGTTTGAAAGAATCAACCGGCTCGCCATCATTTTCTTCCGCCTAGAAAAAATATAAGTTAAAAAAACAATAGAAATCAGAATAAATGCATACAAATAAAAATAAAAATAAAATAAAAATACTTAAATAATTGAAAAAAAGAGATTCAAGTTACCATTTTATCTCCAAGAGTGGCAATACTCATGGCACCCATGTTGTGCTTGGCCACGCCCTTACCGCCACGATCACTGTTGCGGTTGGTGGCGTTGGTGCTGGAGGTTGCTGCCGTCTCGCCTTTCTTCCAGTGCTCACACAAGTCCTTCCAAACCGTGTCGTTCACCGACTTCGGGACCTTTTAATAAATAAATAAAAAGTAGTTAAATAAATCTAAAAATAAATTAAAAAATTAAACAACAATTTAATAAACCGATATGTTATTGACGCGCCACTTCTGCTTCCACTCATGGATCTGCTTCCCATAGTTATCCATAACTTTATGGATGAAGGCGTTGCGGATAAATGGCGTATGATCGGGATGCCAGGTAAACTCTTGCTGAAAAAAACGCAATTAGTATAATATTAATATTAAAGATGAAAATATAACTTAAAAAGCAGAATACTTACCGCAAACTGACGAAACCACATCTCTTGTTCGGCGGGAGGGAAGTGTGTGAACGTCGGATATCCCTTCTTGAGGTCCGAGTACATCATCCGGTTGATCCATGAGCTGATCCCATTTCCGGATCGGTTGAACCTATCAAAAAGGATAAAAATATTAATAATGAATAAACACTTAAAGAAAAAAAAGACTCTTAATTACAATGTTTGGCCTCGTCCCGACGGATACTCGGTGAGATAGAGAAGATGCTCACGACCGGGCTGTTGAACCAACTGTTCAACAGTCATCACTCCCGGAACAACTGAAGGATCGGGAATGTCCTGCGTCGGCGAGGAATCCTGAGAGCCCCGAGAGCGGCTCCCCGAACCACTAGAACCTCGTGGTACGGAACGACGAACTCGAGACCGACTCTGATCTCCAGTAGACCTATCAATTAAAAAAAAAAGTAAAAACAATTTTAATCACAAAAAAATTAAAAATAGTTTATATCAGAAAAAAAAAAATAAAAAATAGTTTTAATGATATTAAAATACAAAATAAGTTCTAATCACAAAAAAGATTTTGAAATAGTTTATAAACACAAAAAAAAAGTTTCAGAAATATTAAAAAAACCTTTTAATAAATAGGAAAATACTTTATTTATTAAAAAATTGTTTTTAATCACAAAAAAGTTTCAGTAATATTAAAACAACCTTTTAATAAATAAGAAAAAGTGTTTTTTATCACAAAAAAGTTTCAGTAATATTAAAAATCCTTTTATTAAATAGGAAAATACTTTATTAATTAAAAAAATTGTTTTTAATCACAAAAAAAAGTTTCAGTAATATAAAAAACCTTTTAATAAATAGGAAAAATACTTTATTAATAAAACAAATTGTTTTTAATCACAAAAAAAAGTTTCAGTAATATAAAACAATCTTTTAATAAATAGAAAAACACTTTTAATTCCAAAAATAAATTTAATAAACAAAAAAATTATAAATCTACAACAACAACATCACAATACACACAAACACCATCTAATTCCCCTATCTACCAATCACCCTAACAAAATCACTATCTAAAACATCTAAAATCCCTA